GTGCTATAACTTCTACCGCTTAGACTTTGTTGCTTTTTCAATTTTTCCTAATAAACAATCGTGGTACAAAGCTCAATAAAAATATTAAAAATAAAATGTTAACAAGCCACAATAACATTGACAAATTACATTTTTGCCTGACGGCATAGCTTGTGTCACGGCTTCAAAAACTTTCCGTTTCCTTTCTTCTTGGTTTTTGACGCTTCGATAGGAGAGCCATTTGTCCAATATAAACATTCGAGCAAAAGAACACTTATAACTCGATCCTAAAATAAATTAAAAAAAATGGTCAATAGTGCCAATTAAAAAAAGAAGTGAAACCTTGAAAACATTTTGAAATTGAGGGTTGTCGTATAATCTTTATGCATTACCCAGAGGCAGCTAAACGCAGTTGGAAGGTTTTGATATTGAAACTAGAGATCTATGCAAACATTTTGGTACAAATATCATGCGTGCAATTTGGTGCAAAAGTAATTAAAAGCTTTGATAAATCGGAAAAGGCAATTTTTTTATACTTTCTTCCGCTTATTTAAAATTATATTTAAACTACTATTAAGACACTTTAAAGAAAAAAATCAAATACTTGGAATATTCTACATACCTTCAGCTTTCAGCTCCATATCAAAAAAGTTCTGACAAGTAAATATTTTTGATCAAAATCTTAAAATAATGCGTAGTTTTAGAAACAATAAGCACTTATGGAAAGTCTTCACTTTCGACGGTTGAAACGGAGCTTTAGCGTTAAAAAATTAATTTTTTTTCTATTCCCAGTTAGAGTGACTGTTTGTTAGTAATTAGACAAGATATGGTGTCAAAATGACACATCAATATTTTTTTCGAAACACCTACTACGGTACCACTGTGCACAGCTATCAATATACCATGCCTTCCCATGAAGACGGTTATCTCCTCGATCTTGCTCTGAAGTCCGTTACAGTTAAATTGAAGGAGCTTCATATGGTTCAGGAGACGTGTAGTTATGCGGGGTGCGAGGTATATGTGTGACCTTTCCGCCATTGGCTGTGTGCGCTGCTGTGGAGGTTCCGCCCTGTGGTGGTAGTGGGTGGCGTCGCAGTTGGGGTTTGCGACCGAGCGGCGCAACACGGGCCCTCGAAGTTCCTCGTCCAATCTCGCGTGGTGCGCAGACCTGAACATGCCCTAAAGTGGCACCAGCCAAGGCAGGTGTTGCACTTGACTGATGTCACGTTACGGAATATCCTGCTCTGACATACCGTGCAGATTGTAGGAGGAACCAGGAGTTGTTGGCGGCGGGGTGTGGGTGGTGGTGCGGTTGTGTCTGTCTGTCGTGGTTGTAGAGTGGTCTATTGTGTTGTTGTGTTGTGGTGCTGTGGTGTTTGTGTTGAACTGCTCAGGTGGACTGGGGTTAGCAGTGGAGGCTGCTCTGTTTGAGCAGCAGGGAGCCACAATTGATGTGATCCAATGCCGATGGGTCCGTAGTCCAGAGAAGACTCTGAGGTGACTCCAACCATCGCAAGCATTGCACTTGACTGAGGTGGAGTTGTGGTGTAGTCGTCTCTGGCATACACAGCAGGTGTAGGTTTCTAGCCCTGGGTTTGACTCGATGCCAGCCCTGAGCAGAAGAATGCGTAGCAAATGTAGCCCTATGGACGAACAACTTCTGATATACTTTGACGACCTAAACGGGGTTAGATCGCCGAAATAACAGGCCTTGGTCGGGTAAAACTCGAGTCATTCCTGTACGTAGAACCGGCTGTCGTGGGAATGTTCGTAGGCGGTCTTCGGCCGCCCTTAGGGGTTATAACCCTTACTACGCAGAATGCTCCTTTCTGTGGGGCGACAGCCCCTCTTCTTTTGTAAAACGTGTATAAAATTTCTTGTGCATATAACTCCGGCTCCGGTATCCACAGTATTTTTGCACTTAACTCATTTCTGCGTAGGGGGCCCACACTCCATGCGAATTATTCGTAGCGCTTTCGACAGAGGCAATATTTTGATATGAAACAAAATGGTTTTGAAAGCTAATGTTATTTCCCTTTCACGGAAAAATACTGGCATTGACCCACAATTACTCCTTGACCTTAAAAAAATTGGTAAAAAAATAGTGTTCTTCAAAAAGCGCATACAAAATCCACCGGATTTGTTACAAGAAAATTTTTTTTTATGTTTTATTACACTAATACTATAGATTTTGAGACTAGAAATACGATTCCACTGCTTAAAAATCGAAAAAAAAATGTTACACCTCAATTTAGAAAATGCATTCTTGATTGCATTTTTTTATTTGTATGCCGGNTCCACAGTATTTTTGCACTTAACTCATTTCTGCGTAGGGGGCCCACACTCCATGCGAATTATTCGTAGCGCTTTCGACAGAGGCAATATTTTGATATGAAACAAAATGGTTTTGAAAGCTAATGTTATTTCCCTTTCACGGAAAAATACTGGCATTGACCCACAATTACTCCTTGACCTTTTTTTTNTCCTTCTCACAATTTTATATCACTCGAATAACAAGTACGCTGTAGTGCTATTCAAGATCTTTAATTTGAGCCATGGTAGAAGTCTCTAGGCCCTTTGAGAGCCAAATTGTAACGATTCTGAAGTTAAAGTGTTCAAATTTTTTTTCGATTTCTAAACAGTGAAATCGTATTTCTCGTCTCAAAATCTATAATATTAGTGTAATAAAACAACCAAAAAATTTTTTTTGGACAAATCCGGTAGATTTTGCATGTTTTTGTTTTTTTGAAGAACACTATTTTTGACCAATTTTTTTAAGGTCGAGGAGTAATTGTGGGTCAATTCCAGTATTTTTCCGTGAAAGGAAATAACATTAGCTTTCAAAATCATTTTGTTTCATATCAAAATATTGCTTCTGTCGAAAGGGCTACGTATAATTCGCTGTGCCCTTAACATCGCACTTAGCGACGCGACACTGCAGCGGCACTACGCGACATGGCGCGACCATTTTTGGTATACCGCACTGAAACGGCAGCAGCGCGACAATTCGCTGCAAAATTTTTAATTTATTTGTGTCACAACCTTCAAACAAGATGGGTGCCAGTGACGCTGATATAATGTTAACTCCTTTTATTTTTATTTTCTTTAGCGCATTCTTCTCAAATGTTATGTTTACATGAAATTTTCTTCTAGAATGAAAAGTATCTGAATATTCACTCACAATTCGAAATACAATCTGCCTTATCCTGAGTTCCGCCTGAAAAAAATTAACCCAAAAATTTGTCATCCGCCCATAGTAAAACCAAGGAAACCAAAAGTGAAAAATTAACCGGTTCGGGGAAAATGAAACTCATGATAAGGCTGAATTTCTTCGAGTTAAAAATATTTTACGAAATGTTATGTACACTGAGAAAATGAAAGGGGTAAAACGCAAGTTTTTAAAAGTAATTGTAAAACAAAGCTTTTGATAACGTTTTACTTCATACAAAATAAAAAATGCAGTATTTGTATTTACGAAACGAAAACGAACCTTATGATATATTTTATTTTCGACTGAGGAGAACAAACGAAATGGAAAAAATAACGCCAAAAATGCGTATTTTCAAAATTAAAATGAAGCATTTTTGAATACTGTCCCTACGAATTGTAGTGCGACACAATTTTCAACCAGTAAAATAAAACGAGACAAAATCAAATTTATTTTCAGTCAATTTAGTATGAAAAATATTTAAAACTAAAACGTTTTGGTTTAGAATTTAGAAAGCTACTTATAATTAAAAACATTTCATTTGTATGCATCATTTGTCGAAAAATGTGTGTGTAGAAAAAAAGTTACTTCAAGCTTCAATATTTATTTATTTATTTTTTACAGTCTGTTAGACTTATATTAAAAAAAGAAAAGATTTAACATTCTGATAATTAGATTTAGATTTAAAATTTAAATATTAAATATTAAATACAATATGCTCTACGGAAATTTTTAAATAACATTATTTCTTTATTACTGCAATTATTTTATGTTTCTAATCCGCGCTATACTTTTTGGGTTACTCCGTTTCTTGATATCTCCTGGGTGGCCGCAAAGGCCGAGTTTCCGATCCACCCAGTCGCGCTTTCGTGACGGTTGGAAAGGCCTAGTTTCCAATCCGCTCATTTATTATTTATTATGTAAGGGTTTTAATGTACTCTAGGTAGTCGGAAAGGCCGAGTTTCCGATCCACCTAGTCTCGATATCTTGGTGGTTAGAAAGGCCTGGTTTCCAATCCACGCTATTGTTGATACATCACTATCTTGTAGGCTGCGTTCTACAATAGTCATATAGCAGCCGCTTGAAAAGAGTGATAGTATCACAATTTTTTATAGCCTCTGGTAATTCATTGAGCACTTTAAGCCTTTATAAAAAATATTTTTTTTTGTCCACTTCCGTTCTATACTTTGGGAGTCTGAAGCTGTTATTCTCTCTCAACAAATATGTATGGGTCTCATTTATATATCGGAGATTATCGCTACGATAATAAGGCAGGTTGCCCTTCTTAATATTGTATACAAATTTCATAGCGTGGTAAAAAACTTGTTGCTTCACGCTTAACCAATTCAAGGTTTCAAGCATACATCTTGTTGGTGTGACGTACGGTTTGTTGAGGATGAATCTCATCGCATCGCTCGGTTTTGCATTTTTTGAAGCTTATCTACATGTGAGTCCCCCGCTAGGAAGAAAATCGTAGGGCAGTATATAAAGTGCGGTTCTACTATTGACCTGTACACCAATGTTTTATATCTTCTTCTCAAGTACTTACACGATCTCTTTATAAGGCCAATTTTTTTAGCAAACTTGTTGACTTTATGCTCAACGTGCTCATCAAACTTTAGTTTGTTGCAGAGATGCTCAACAAACTATATGAATCGGTTTCGTTTTGTTGATGCGCAAAAATAACTTATCAAAATAATTTCGTTTCGTTTCAGAGCTGAATTAACGAAACAAAACTCAATCGTTAACGTTGAAACGAAATAAATCATCAATCATTAACATCGAAACTAAATCAACGAAAAGTTGTTGTTGTATGCCATTGCCAGCTCACTATTACCACAACTCCAGCATTAACGATTGAAATTCTTTTCGTTAAAAACCAAAATAGAATTATTTTGATAATTACCTTACCAATAAAAAACTGAATCGTTTCCTTGGTTTGTTGTCTATGTATATTCCTAGGTACTTGACACTTTTCGCCTCTTCGATATTTTCATCTTTGATTTTTAATTCACGGCTTATGGAGTCAGCATTTGCCGCTCTGAAAAATACCATACAGTTAGTCTTTTTCACATTCAGTTTGAGTTTATTTGAACCAGACCTGTTAAATAATGATTAATAATCATAATGATTATTGTTGGAAACTCCGCCACCATCAACACAGAATTAATCGAAAGTATAAACACCGTGTCCTTTATGTCTATTGGCAACCCTCGCTACTGTCAGTTTGTTGAAATTAAAAGAAACGATTTTCGGCTTCATTAGAAGCAGAAGTTTAAAAGAAAGCGGTTGGGAAAACCAAATGTAAGTATATTATTTCCCAAAATGTATTTTAAATTTAACTAATTGATTTATTAAATAAAGATTTATAAGCCCTTTGGTGTAACTAATTCACACCGTGCTAACAAATTGGTTGGACCGCCAACATTTCTTTTAAATATTTGTCGCATTTCTTGGAAACATCGACTGTGTTCTGCAGCAGCAACAAATGTAAATTTCGCGGCCGTTACAGTGAACGTCGAAAAAATCTGATACAAATTTGGCTTGGGTTGCAAATAAGAACAGTTACTTTTGAAAAATGGGACGGACGGAAAAGAATGTGTTAAAGGACATGAGCGCGACGGCGAATTGCAACATGTGTGAAAAGCCGGATAGTGAACAAATGGTGCAGTGCGACGTGTGTGATGGGGTGGACACATTTTACGTGCGCAGGTGTGTCGGAGGACATAGTTGAAAAGGCTTGGAGCTGTAGTAAATGCCTCAATGCATCAACAAGTACAACAAAGACTGTACAAGCCGCAACAACAACTGCTAATCAGGAAATTGCCATACAGAATTATGCGAAAGAGGTACGTAATGAAATTGATGTAGCAAGTTGTCGTAGTTCGGGGAAATCGAAACGGTTCATGGAAATAGAACTGATGCGCCTTGAAGAAAAGTAAAAGGCTGAATTAGCGTATTTAGAACAGAAATTTGAAATTATGCGCAGATATGAGAGTGCGGTGGAGTCGGACGACGAAGTTGGTGAAGAAGCATTAAAGGACTGTGGAATGGGCAAACGGCAAGGTCCAGGGGTTTAAGTAGGGCTGAGGAAGGGCAAGGTAGTCTGGTTATAGGTCAGGAAGAAAGGGCGCGGATGCAGGCTCGCACAACAGCGGCGGTGAGTGTTGCCGGTTTGAGACCGGAGCAAATAGGCGCGCAACACGTGGTGCCAAAGGATCTGCCTATCTTTCTTAGCAGCTTTGAGAACTCAACGCGACTGTGTGGATTTAGCAACGACGAGAATTTGCTTAGGTTGCAGCGTACTTTAAAGGGAAAAGCGCTTGAATATGTAAGCAGTAAGCTTATGATTCCGGCTCTTGTTCCGGAGATAATTTCTAGTTTACGAATGGTGTTCGGCAGGCCAGAGCAGATAATAAATAATTTACTGTTTAAGCTACGTGCTTCTCCACCTGTCAATGCTAATAAGTTGGATACTATGATAACCTTTGCGCTCGAGGTAAAAAATTAAATGCGACTATGGAGGTATCAGGGCTTGAGTCGCACATGAACAATCCGCTACTAAAACATGAGCTTATCGAGAAGCTGCCTGCGCAGATGCGTCTTCAATGGGCATTGTTCTCCCGGTCATATGTGATAGCTACCGTAAAGGTATTTAGCGAATGGCTTTTGGATTTAGCAGACGCGGCTAGCAACGTTGCATCGGTTACTACACTAGCTAATTCAGAAACAGAAAAGCGTAGGGTACACCGAGTGAGCTTTCATAACGAAGAACTAGACGCTAGGACTGGGTCCAATGGGGCTGTAAAGCGAAAGTTGGCCTGTTATTTTTGTGAGGAGGCACACCTCATAATGAAGTGTGATAAATTCAAAAAGCTGGGTTTCGACCAAAAATAGAAAGCAGTGCACGATTTGAAGCTGTGTAAGGTATGCCTGAAAAAGCATGCCATAAAATCCTGTCGTGAGAACAGAGTGTGCGGTGTGAATAATTGCGACCGAAGGCACAACCCGATGCTTCATAAACCCGAGGCAGCACCTGGTAACAACGCTGTTACAGTCATGGCGGCAACGCATCACCAAGAGACCTCTGATACGCTTTATCGTATGGCTCTGATAACAATTTATGGAAACGGAATTTCAGTTGACGTGTACGCCTTTCTTGATGACGGGTCTGGTCCCACGCTAATAGAGAAGAGTGCGTTGCAGCAATTGCAGCCAAAAGGAAAAAAGAAAGGTTTATACCTCAGATGAACCGATGGTACGATACGCGTCGAGAAGAATTCAAAGGCGATCTACTTAGAAGATCGTGGGAAGAACCAGAGGCTTGGGTTACATAACGTGCACCCTGTAGAGGCGCTTGATCTGCCTCAGCAAACATTAAATGTAGAGAAGCTCGCGGCCAAATATAGGCACTTACGTGGAATACCCGTAGAATCGTACTGCGGTGTTATACCACATGTCATTATTGGATTGAGCAATAAGCACTAAGCGATTCCGTCGAAAATTCGAGAAGGCAAGGCATGTGAGCCTGCAGCTACCAAAACGCGCATCGGCTGGACGGTGTATGGCGTGGTTAATCGTGAAGAGCGTCAAGGCGATACCAATCTACAATTTCATATTTGTGAATGCGATGACGATGTAGCACTGCAAAAGCTAGTTACAGAATGCATATATCAAGAATCCAGCAGAGATCAGGAAGAGAAAATGCAACAGAAGATTGTACGCGACAAACAACATTTTGTAGTCAAACTACTGTGGAAATCGGAGAGCATTGTAATGCCGGATAATTATTTGATGGCTCTGCGCAGACTAACATGTATTGAGAAGAAGTTAAAAGGAGATCCTGAGTTGAAAGTTTGTGTCAGTAATCAGATAATGAACATGGAGGAAAAGGGTTATACACGAAAACTAAGTGCTAGCGAAATTAAAGAACATCATCTGAGGAAATGGTACCTGCCATGTTTGTAGTGCGCAATCCGAACAAACCACTCAAGATAAGGCACGTTTGGGATGCAGCCGCGGAGTGCAAAGGCGTTTCGTTGAATTCATGCCTGGACAAGGGTCCGGATTTGTTGATCTCTCTGTTTGATATACTATTGAACTTCCGTATATGGAAATATGGTATATGCGGCGATATCAGCGATATGTTTCACCGGGTTTTCGTGGACGAAGAGGACCAGCATACCCAGCGATTCTTGTGGAGAGGCTGCGATGATAGTCGCACCCCTGATGTATACTCACTTAGGGTAATGAGCTTTGGGGCAAGCTGCTCACCGTCGTTAGCCCAATATGTAAAAAACCAGAATGCGCTGCAGTTTGCAAGCTCGCATCCAAGAGCGATTTATCCTGGAGAGGTATTAT